CTCAGGGGAACCTCAAATTTTAAAAAGGGGAGGGGAAGAGGAATTTTCAGGGAGCTGGGAAGGGATTTCCTCATTAAAAATAACATGGAATGGAACCCTGAAATGCTTTAGGTGGGAAGAAAATTTACGAATGGATTCAGCTCCATGTTTCTGCTCTGTGGCAATTCCAGCCTCAAATTAATTAATTAATTAATTAATTTAACAAGGTTAAATTTCCTTTTAAAAAGGGAAAAGGAATTTTCAGGGAGCTGGGAAATGATTCCCTCATTAAAAGCAGCATGGAACAGAACATGGAGTGCTCTGGAAAGCAATTTGGGAATGGATTCAGTTCCAGGTGTCTGCTCTGTGTCAGTTCCAGCCTCACTCAGGGGAATCTCAGATTTCAACAGGGGAGGGGAAGAGTCCCAGAACTGTCCCAGGACTGTCCCAGCTGTGTCCCCAAAGGGAATTTGGGGTGCCCTCACCTGTCTCACAGTCCCACAGGCGGCAGCTGTTGTCTGCAGAGCCGGTCAGGACGTGCCTGGTGTCCCCTGAGCCTCCATTAAGGGAAAATCAACCCAAAATCCCCCTGCCAGGGCACTCACAGAGCAATTCTGAACCCAAAAATTGATATTTTTCAGGGCAAAATCTGCCCCAGGGAAGGCAACACAGAGCCCAAGTGTTCCCATGGCAAAATCCCATCTTTTCCCCATGAAAATGAAAAGAAAAAGTTCCATTTCTTGCATTTAAATAAATTTCCCACCCTTTTATCTCTGCTGCCTGTGGAAAACCTTCCCAAATATCCAAAAGGCACAACAAATCCAGATATTAATTAGGCTGTTGTCCCAAATGGGAAAACACCCAAACAAGAGGCAGCAGAAGGAATGGATTCAGTTTAAAAAGAAAAATTTAAACGCTGCTCTTGGAGAGGAAGATGAGAAGCAGCCGGGAGGAAGCACCGAGGATGATTCAGCCTCTAAAATATGAAATAAAACCAGTTTGGGGATCAAAGGATACAGTCAGCATCCACACACCACACAGCTCCCGTGTGCCCATTGTAGGTCCCCAACCTCTCGCCGTTCACCGAATACCAAACATTGACAATCTGCGAGGAAGAGGGGGGGAAAAAAATTAATTAAAACTAAGGATTAATTAATGGACGGGTAATTAGCGGTGGTGGGGAGCACTCACGGGATCCTTGGCCACGGTGAACAGCAGGTCTCCCTCGCGGTTGTATTTGATCTGAGTGATGGAGCGCTCATGGCCTTGCAGCAGGATGGGCTTCTGTAATTAATGATTAAATAATTAATGAGGGTGA